GATTTCTGGTTTGCTCCAGTCATTGCCCTGTATATGTATATCAGTGCTGACTACAGTAGAGGGTGTGTTTATTTGGCTGGCCCTCCCCGTGGGGTCTACGTTTAGCCTCATTTAATTTTGCCTTCAATATATACAGGAAATGGTTTATTTTAGACTTAAAAATTCTTGTCTGCATCCCAAATTTAAATTATAACCTGTATGTAAGATTTTTAAAATGCCGTGTGTGTGTGTGTGTGTGTGTGTGTGTGTGTGTGTTCATAGATAGTAAAATATTGGAGGAAAAAATAATACTGATTACATTTATTTTTATAAAGACAGAACTCTAAAAAGGAGAAAGTGGGGAATTTGCCATTCTCATGCTGACATCTGGCTGATAGTTTATATTGACTCTCTTTTAGCTCTTTGTGATTGTTTCTAGCCTTTTATAGGTCTGCGATGGTTGTAGGAACCCAGCAACCTAGTATGTATGATTTGTAATTTTAAAATTGCTGTACTTCCTCTGAGAGGTCATGTCTATGCATGTAAGTAGTTTTCAGTGGTTTAATATAAAATCAATAGGATTATTTCTTTTAATAGATGATCATTTAAATGGGATAACTTTTTTCATAGAACAAATCATCTGTTTGTTGCCTTTATTTAACATTTAACTTTTAACTCTTGGTAGCCTAGAAGAGCAGTAAGATATCTTTGAAAACGTAATTGAGTTACTGTATTTTAGAGGACTTCCCTCTATAATTCAAAATGTATTAAAAGGCAAGTGATTTTGAAAAGACCTGTTTCTGTTAAGAAACTGATTGACAAGGTGTCATTTTCAGCTTAATAGGGTCCTTTTCTTGTTCTGATAGTAGAATTTTCTGTCATGACCATGAAAATACATTTCTTAGGATTTGTCTACCACCAAGTATATGGGAAAACTTATATCTGACAGAATCTCCTAGTTCCCAAGACTTAGATGGGATGTGAATCTCTATAATGCTACTTTTTTATCTCAGTCAAAGTCTTTGACTGCATTTGTGTAAAGCTTAAAGATAAGAAAGGGAAATAGATTGAATTTTGGAAGTTTTATAAATGCTTTTCAACCTTGTCTTTGTCTGTCATCAACTCTTTTGATAAAGATATATTTTGAAAATTTCATTGGCAATTTTCTCCCCCTGCAGCTTTTTGGATGCATTTTCAAAAAGAGTAGATAAGAGAAGGAAGCTGGAAGATTCATAGGTATAGTAGCACTTATTTCAGCAGAGAATCACTTTCCTATTTAATCACTTTGTTATTTTCTTAACTCAGTTACATAGTCTAGATGACAATGGTTTGTTTTAAAGGCCAAATGAAGTGGAAAAAGTGAAACTGAGGCTAGCATAAATGTTTTCACTCTAATATTTTCAATACTTTTTAAAATTGTGTGTCTATATGTAGGAGAAGAAGGAAAAGATCTGCATGGCTTGACAGGTCTTTGTGCTGTTTCTAGTACATAGTTAGCTCTACCAGTGGATGGTGACTATAGTATAAACCTTTATGACATGGTCTAATATTTTGAACTGAGCACATGGCAGTTCTGAACTTCTTGGTCTTCTACAGGACATGGGACACCATTGACTTGGCTTGGGAAACCTGAGGTATGATTTTTTTTTTCAGACTAAGAACCTTTCTGGGCTGTTATAGACCCAGTGTGAGAAGGTATCTTATGACCTATTCAAAGTGCTTAGCTGGCTTGGACATGATTAAAACCTTTCTTTAAAAAATCCTCATCCAAGGATATTTTCCCATTGATTTTTAGAAAGAGTGGAAGGGAGGGGGAGAAACAGAGAGAGAAACATCTCTTGATAGAGACACATTAACTGGTTGCCTCCTGCACGTGCCCTGAACCAGGGCTGGGGATAGAGCCTGCATAGAGGTACACAACCGAGGTACATGCCCTTGATTGGAGTCAAACCTGGGACCCTTCAGTCTGCAGGCCAACGCTCTATCCATTGAGAAAAACTGGCTTGGGCAACATTGGAACCTTTTTTGTTCATAGAAATTTATTTCCCAAAAGACAAAAACAGTAAGTGATTATATATTGTGCTGGGCAGTCCTTTCCCTGCCTCCAACCTACCCCATTTATACATGCTTACCAAAAAGTCCAATTCCCTACAAGGATTAAAGCAAATGTTAGCCAATGTCAAAAAAGTTTGCCCTTCCTCCATCGAAACTCCAATTAAAATGTTTTGGTGTAAAATTAAGTCTGGGCCTTTTGAAGACTAAATACTATACAGAGGAGATTTATTATCCTGAGTTCTAAAGATGTTTTGGAAAAAAAAAAAAAAACTTAAGAGCCTTGGATTTTTTTGTTTTTGTTTTGTTTTGTTTTTGAAATATTGTGTTCCACAGATAACATTCATATAAATTTATTTGGTCTTCTCATTTACTGTTTGGGTAGAAAATGCAGATATTTTTGTTTTTTATAAACGTTCTTTAACATAAGCAACAGTTTCTGGTAAGGTACTATGGCTATGCATCTGCATTTTATAAAATTAAATTATGGATTCTGTCATTCAACAGATAATAGTTTATAAAACAAATAAAATTTCATAAATAAGTTTTTTAACAAAATATCGTGCTGCCTTATATTCCATAGTTCATTTTTAAAACCCAACTTGATGTACTTTTTAGAGTAATTCTTTCTCTTTTTCTATGTCTGAATACTGTTTTGCTTTGTGGGGAAAAATGCCAGTTTCTCAAGATAAAAGCTTAAGAAACGTTATTATATGTAAAGGAAAATTATATAAAAACACAAAGGCAGGTAGTAATTCTTTATCTGAAGATTGGTAAGACATGCCAGATACCCCTTGTTTTCTCCCTCCTTTCCTTCCTAACCCACCTCTGATTGTATTTAATGGAAATTATGTTAAAACTATAAATTGTAACAAAAGTCAAACTCCTAATTATTTCTTTCCTCTTTTTTTAAAAAAATGATTGCTTGTTTGGAATTTCTGAATATAAGAGACAGTCTTCATTATACAGCTTTTTTTTGGTGGGGGGAGGGGTACAAATTGTGTTCTGTATAAATGTCCATGGTTGTGTTTGCCACTTATCTGGGAAAGCTACCAGGATTGGTTTACAATCCTAAGGCAATCCTGCTCAGCAGGTGCCTAATTTCTTTTTTCATGACTTGCTATGAAACTGCCCTAAAGTATGGGGATTTGAGAAAGGGTCTTAAAAAATATGAATATGCAGGAAAAGAGAAAACAGTCTAAGGAGGAAAAGGTCAGGAGTAAGTTATTTAGACCTGGTTAGGGGGCAGGATTTCCGAATACCGCTGCAATTAGTGATAAAAAGGACTGAAATTCAGAAGAGAAGTCAGAGAGATCGAGATTTAGATCCTAGCAATTACTGTGATACATGAAATTTCACAATAATTTAATTCCCCAAAGAAAAAGAGATTAGAGAGGAGAGAAAATGATTTAGGACCAAAGTTTGGGGAAATCTTTAATGTCAAAGTGTGAGAAGAAGAGAAATGCTGAAGTATAAACTAATGTGCTTGGCTGTGGAAGACATAAGTATCGCTGCTCCCCAGGGCTGTTAATTCTGAGCCAGATTATCTCAGTTATACTGGGTTGAGACTGGAGAATCTAGGGACTAAAATCCTTGTGACCATCTTTGGCTTGGTGCAGGTTGTAGTAAGTGTAAAACAGAGGCTCATGTTATCTGTTGGAAGGCATATTAATGAGGGAGAATCTTCATTATTGTGATATTTAGTGCATATAAAAATTTATTACAGCTGTAATATGTGCTGAAATCATATAGCTATTCTTAGACTACTTTTATGAATTTGGAAAAAATGAGTTAATACCATTGTAAATTCTTACTGCTAATAAATTTTCCTTTTCCAGGATTTGAAACTAAGATATTATTTTATTTTACAAATCACTTAATTTGATTGAAAATAAATTGATCAATGGGAGAAACAAAAGGACAACCCTGACAGAAAACAAAAGTTGAACATCTAATTTCTCAAACTACATTTTAAGTTGTACCCAGCTTCTTGCCAGAGAAAGTAAAATAATAGAGCCAGCTCATCCCAGTGACCTGATATTTAAAAGAGCAGCTGCAGTGATTTGGTTTTGCATTATATGTTTTGAAAGAGATAACTTGATTCTGAGTGAAATTATAGAAAGGCTTTAGTAACAAGATAAATATGGAAATGTGACTGTGAGAATCATTTAGAAATCATAAATAAGGAAAATCACAGCATGTGTTCAAACCAGTTGATGAACTAATTCATTTTCTCCTGGAACAAAAAAATGTTGCCTTTTTATTCACCCATCTCTAGCATTTGTGAGGGTGAAAATTGCTTGCAGTTTTGTTTGCCTTAAACAAATTATGGTGAACCCAGTAATCTAAATGAGATAATAATTAGCTGCTTTATATAATGCTCATGAGCTAAACACAGCAGGTCACATCTGACAATGTAATACATATCTGTCAATTTTGCTACACATAGTAAACACTATATATATTATAGTAGCCGTGTCAACATTTAGGCAACACTAAAGATGCTTGATTTCACAGGATTGATATATTATTCTGTTTGGAAGTGCTTAAACCATCAATAAAACATCCATATAGCTGTGACTCCAAAATAAACTTTGGTATCAATTATCCAAATGATCTAGAGCCATTTTCTCTGGAACCTAAAGAACAACACGGCAACCAGGTAAAGGGATATATTCTATGGTTAAAAGAATGTCAGTGGATTTCAACATTTTTTTCCTCACATTGTACAGGTTTATGGAAAAGAAATTTAGACCCTAAAATGTCCAGCATAATGGGTCTAAAATTTAAAAATATATATTTATGAGTATGTCATATATTTATATATATTTTTTCTCCACCCCTCAATTGAGGGAAAATTAACATTTTCCCTTGGTTTCCTCATTGTTTGAGAATGCACTTTTATTTTTCTTAGCCATATCAGATCCTTAGAAAAAATAATGAAAATTACTCTAATTCTTCATTTTTAGGGTCGGTGTGCTAGAGAGAATTGCAAGTACCTTCACCCTCCTCCACACTTAAAAACCCAGCTGGAAATTAATGGACGGAACAATCTGATTCAACAAAAGACTGCCGCAGCCATGTTTGCCCAGCAGATGCAGTTTATGCTCCAAAATGCTCAAATGCCATCATTTGTAAGTCACAGCATTGTTTTTAAAAAATTGCACATGTGTGCCTTAAAAAAAAAGAATATATATCTACATTGGAATAACCTTGCAGGGCCTTTGGGAAGTTAGTTACAGAGGATTTAGACACAAGCTAATATATTAATTGATACTACAAAGCTGCCCTGCATGTGAACGGAGCAATCAGGTGTATTCAATTTAAAATCTGGGCTATATTTAAACATGAATTCAGTTTATAGAAAAAATATCAGTAGAGGAACAGGAAATTTTAAAATGACGAGGAGGTTTGATCATTATTACATGATGTAAATCTATGAATTCTATGATAACAGTTTTTCATGGTTTTATTGTTACTTATTAATACTTTTTATTTTGAAACAATTTTAAATTTAAAGAGAAGTTGTGAAGATAGTGCAAAAGGTTCCCAAATGATCTCTCACCCAGTTCCTCCCACTGTTAATATTTTTCCATGGTATTTTTGTCAAAATTAAGAAACTGACATTTACACATTGCTATTAACTAAACTCCAGACTTTATTCAGATCTCATCATTCTTTCTGTTCCAAAGTCCAATCCAGGACACCACAGTGCATTTATTTGAATCTGTCCCCCTCTCTCCTCTGGTCTGTGACTGTTTCTGTCTTTCCCTGTTTCCCGTGACCTTGTCAGTCTTGAGGAATGCTGGCCAGATATTTGATGGTGGATTTAATTTAACCTAGCTATAGAGTTTTCCTTTGCAAAAATTAATAAGACTATGGTGTCATTCTAGATCAGTCTCTACTACATTTGTGGATCAGTAAGCTTAGATCCTTTTAAAGCACTTTTTTTTCCTATTGATAATTCATCTTGTTTTGCTACCTTAAAATATCAAGTTGCAATTTGGGTTTCTAGGAGGAATTGAAAACTCCCCTTTCTGCTGAATTTACCGGGTCTTAAACTTAGTTCAGTGATGTCTCATTCTAATTCTAGCTGGCCTGCTTGTTTTAGACCATTAACAAGATACTAACTTGGAAGGGTTATGTTATCTTTATTTGTTACCTATTTCATCAGTGCTGATGAATGGTGATAGTATATAATATTTAGATATAATGAAAATGTGAGTGCAGAGAGGAATTGACTGTCCTATCTAATAAAAGACTAATATGCAAATTACCCACAAGCCATGCTGACCAGCCACTCCCACCAGCCAATCAGTGGCGGGTATGCAAATTAACCTGAACCAAGATGGCTGTGGCCACAGAGCCAGCAGAAGGGAGGCTTAGGTTTCCCAGGTGATGGAGGGAGCCAAGCTTTCCACAAACCCTGGGGGGCCCAGGCCTCCACTCCAGGCTACAAAGTTTCAATTATAGAAGATAAATAAATTCCAACAGAAATGGCTGTAGCCACTGAGCAAGCAGGAGGCTTGGCTTTGCTCCAGGCTACAAAGTTTCAATTGTAGAAGGTAAATAAATCCCAGATACTAAGGCCTCCTCTTGGGTCTCCAGAGGGAATGGTTGGCCTGCAAACCACCACAGGCTCCTCACTCAGGCCGCCCCATGCCCCAAGGGAACCCCCACCCTGATCTGGGACACCCTTCAGGGCAAACCAGCTGGACCCCACCCATGCACCAGGCCTCTATCCTATCTAATAAAAGAGTAATATGCACATTGACCATCACACCAACACACAAGATGGCTGCCCCCATGTGGTCAAAGATTTTACCCCTATGTGGACACAAGATGGCCACCACAAGATGGCCAGCAGGGGAGGGCAGTTAGGGGTGACTAGGCCTGCAGGGGAGGGCAGTTAGGGGGTGATCAGGCAGACAGGCAGAAGCGGTTAGGGGCAATCAGGAAGACAGGCAGGCAAGCATTTGAGAGCCAGCAGTCCTGTACTGTGACAGAGATGCCCAACTGCCTGTTTAGGCCTGATCCCAGGAACATGCCTAAAGGGGCAGTCAGACATCCCTCTAGTCCCATTATAAAGTTGATTCTCAGAATTAAAGGAGATATGTGTAGATAGGACACCCCTTAAGTACTTTATACTTATAGACAATGCACAAAACAGGCGGCAGGGGCATTGATGAGTCACTAAAATTTTGCACTGTGATTTTCATTTCCCAGAACATCTAGACAAATTTAAGTAAAAATATATAAATTTCATGTTATATTAGTTTTCAAAAATATTTGCCTTGTAATTCATTGCTGATTAATTACATTATAAATTAGTTCCCAGAAAGTCACCAGTGAGTTCCTCAGAGCTCCTATTTGGCCTTCAGGGTTGCTTTACATGGTTGAACTCCTTTAAACGAGGTTTTCACGCACTGAAATATCTACATTTTTTCCTACTTCTAAAGGGGCAGGGAAGAGAAAGTCTACTACCGTGTTTCCCTGAAAATAAGACATCCTCTGAAAATAAGACCTACTTACAGGTTTCCTTCTGAGTATATAAGGCATCCCCCGAAAATAACCCCCCCACCTCCAGGCTAAACATGAGAGATTTGGTCCACTGATTCTGAAAGAAATGGAGTCACAAGAAATTCACCAGGAAATTCAGGAATTGATTGTTATGATGTTCCAGAAGATGATGAGATGATTGTCATTGAATAAATGAGTAAATTTTTGATACTGTAGGATTCAGTTTGTCTGGTTTGTGTTGACAACTAACGTAAATACGACCGTACCATATACAGATAATAAATTTTCTTTATTTTCATTTAACAATAAATGTGTACCATATTCTTCTTCATGGAAAAATAAGGCATCCCCTGAAAATAAGACCTAGCGCATCTTTGGGAGCAAAAATTAATATAAGACACTGTCTTGTTTTCGGGGAAACAGGGTAGATACTGAGACAGGATAAACAAATCCACAAAATACTGAATGTGTTTGGTGAGTCCAGAAAATGTGAGTAGATGGGGAATAAAGCAAAGGAGTTTTTCACCCATCCTTACTACTCTCAGGTTCTCGTGGGATGTCCCAATTTCAGACTGAAAAAAGAATAGAGCCAGATTTTATCACACACCTGAGCTCAGCCTTTTCTATAGACTTGGAGTGTATATATTTTCATAACTCAAGAGACAGCATCAGGGCAGCAATAAAATTCCTGTTTCAGGGTATCAGAGCAAGGCCTGCATTAAAGTAGGGGTGGAGACAGAAGGAAGACAATTTATTTTCTATTCAGATTCTAGTAGAGTCTCTCCATTCCAAGTCTCAACTCTTTATGCATTATCGATCATGATGGCTCACACTGGGAAATAGGGGGTGGCTTTTTTAGAGACTAATAAGAGATACATTGAGTTTTCTGGCCTTTTGTGCCTTCTAATTTGATTCTCTGTGGTTTCTATAATGGAATACATTTGCCTTATTTCTTCAGTGAGGGTAATTTTAGATTTCAGGCTGTAGAACATGACTGATATGACTCACAGGAATACAATTTATTTTATAGCATATCACAAGATGTAAGTCATCACTTATTAGACCCCAGGGAACAATTGGAAATTGCATTTCTAACTTGTGGATTATGTATTTAAAAATAGCTGTTGTGATGTCATAAATTGATAAAAGGTTAATTTTTGCAGTTATTACATGTTAAAAATTAGCCCCACAATGGTTAATATGATCCTCTTTTGAGGTCTAGAAAGTTGCTTTGTAGGGATATTGGAATTGAGCTAGTGACAATTTTAAATGACATTTATCATTATGATTCAAAAGAAATGTTCTTCATTATGGATTTTGATATTACTATAAAAGTAACATGATTTTAATTAACTTCTCTGGTACTTACTCTCCCAAAACAATCCTCAATTCCTTTTAACACCTTGCATAACATGATTATTTTCTCCAAAATAGTCAAGTTTTTTAAAATTTTCAGTCATGATGTCTGTATGGTTGTATATTAATACCTATATGATATCATTGGCTTGAACTTCAGGTCTTTCCACAAAACATACTTTAATCTGTTTCTAGAATAACAGAAGAGCATATCTGCTCTTTGGAAAACTTAGTATGGTTTGCTTATTATAAGCCCTCAGATATAGGGAATGTCAGCCTAAATAGGATGGTAGCTAGAAAACATTCTGTTCAGTGCGACTGAACAATGAATGAAAGCCACACCTACTCAAGTGGGATGGAATGCTTGTTGTAGTGGACAAGTTTATTCACTGTATTTAACAGGCCTGAATTTACATCTGATAGTATAAATGTCCACCTCTGAAAGCTTCTGTTAGCCCTATGGAGGAAGTTGAGCAAATGAGAGAAATCGTGTGACTCCCTAATATTTTTCAGTGTTGTTTAAGAGAATTTCTGATGTTCACAGCAAAAAAATTTAAGTTTAAAAACTCCCCTTGATGTCATTAGAGAGGCAAATGAGCACTGTACAAGAATTTTAGGGAAAGTAGACACACTGGACTACTCTCAAACAAACCTAATGGTCTAATATTTTAATTTCACAACTAAGAATTTTCATTACAGAGAGAGTCTTCCTGTTGGATGCAATATATATAAGTATAAAGTGGACATGGTATTGTAAAGCTATTAAAATATTTTTATTTAGACATTTCACTATCTAGATCTGTCCATATCTAGTAAATTTCTTTAGTTTCTCTTCCTGAATGTGTTGATTCACATGGAGGCAGTTATTTACACATAGGTAAACTTGACTCAGTCAAGTATACTCACCTGATGATTTATACAGAGATTATTGCCTTGGCATATTTGGCTCACCATCTAAGGTGTGCCAAATCTGCTCTGCTTTATGCTTTTCATGGCTTGCATTCCTGTGGCCAGGTTGTGGTGTCCCTAACCAAAGAGGTTATAAGCATGGGTTTCATTCCAAGCTTTTCCTTCATCGTAGATAGAATCATCTAATGTCTATCTGGAATTCTCCCCACCTACATTTATCATAAACAAGCTTATATGTTTATATGACATTAATATAGTAAGAAAGGAAGGTTATGTGACACTTCAGAACCAAAAGGGGAAAGATAGGACTTTCCAGTAGATATGAAGAAGGGAGATATACTAATTAATA